CTTTTATTTTATTGCTTTTGAATATAAATACATATGCGTCTTTAATTTAATCATCACATTTTATTTTAACTTTTTCTGTCTTTTTGATTTATTTCCATTTTTAATTTAATTATAGATTCGTTAAACAAGCTAAACTATTTACGGAGTATGTTATTTCATTATTTTATAAAATAAAGTGTTAAGAGTCGGTTTTGCAAAGAAAAACTTGATATGTTTTCAATAGCACACATGTGCATCAAAATTTAAGTGTGCCTTTTGATTAAATTAAAGAAATAGAGAATATAAACTTAGTGGTTTGTCAATTATACTCCCTCCGCTCCACAAAACTCTTTCTCTTTTGTTTTTTTGCTTTCCACAAAACACTTCCACTTTCTATTAAAAAAACCACTTTTACCCTTACTTTTTCATACCCTACCTATCACATCATACTTTTTCACTAATAACCAAACTATCACATCTTACTTTTTCCCATCACATCAGGGGCAAAATTGAAAAGTCAACCAAAATTACACTTTCCTTATTTTTTCCCAAAGTCAAAACCGGAAAAGTTTGGTGGAACGGAGGGAGTAGTATTTAAAAGATAAAATAAAATTAAACAAAATTTACAACTGTTCTTCAATCTTTTACTTGATCAATATTAATTATATTGGTCACGTAAATTTAGAGGGCATATTCAATTAGGAGTTTGTAGAATTTTTTTAGGACTTTAAGTTGGTGAATTTAGAAAATCTATGGACTCGATGCTGAGTTTGGGTCTATCTCAGTCATTATTAGCTTCTCTTGATTAAATACGATCTTTATTTTCATCAAATCAATCTATCACATGATTCAAATCGCACAAGGATGATCAAAATAAACACAATAACTTTTAATTCTTAAAGAATTACTTTCGTAAAATAAATAATACTTATTTATTTTAAAAATAGTAATAAACTACTAGACCGATTTCTAAGACGTTACACAAATTTTTCATCTAAAGAAAACAAAAGTCATGTTTTCCACATTGAAAAGTATTTTTCTTTTCAACCATATAGATCTTAAAAGTTACTCCATCCGACAAGATTTAATCTTTCAATTTGATTTTTTTGTCAGAGTTTGTAAACTTTGACCTTAATATGCGGAAAAATACGTTGTATATTGATATAACCGTAATATTGATATAAACTTTTACCTTAATATGCGGAAAAATGCATTGTATATCGATTCTTTCCATCCCAAAAAAGCAATATTAATGGTCAGAGTATTATATCAGAGATCGTGAAAAGTTAAATGTAAAGATTAAAATCCGGACATATGGAGTAGAATCTAAAAGAACAAAACCTTAAACATTGAAGAAATTTTTTAAAGAAAAAAAAAATTATTCGACCCAATGTGTGGCACACTTAGAATACTAGTAATATAAACTACCCACCTGTTTTCTTTATAGGAAGGCAAAAGAAAAATTTGTAAATGGGATTGAGCGAGTGATATACTAGTGGATTCAAAGCAATATTTACGAGAAAATGCTAGAGTCACAAATAAACGACACATATCATAAACATAATCGTCATCATCATCATACCCTTGTTTATAGGATCGGCCCGGTTCCATGGCCACTGGATTCTAATGGCCATGGAACCAGGCCGTTATGGGATAGACTCAATACTTTGAAACCATTAAAGTATTGTACGGAGGTCCCATTAAGGAGGTGGAACTCGCCATCCTTTGTCTCTGATGCATCAAATTTCTCATACCACTCTCCTTTGAAATAGTACAAGGCATTTGCTAAAATGAACTTAGTTTCACTATTTGCTGCATCTAGCAGGAAGAATATGTTTGATGAGACCCCCAGTCTCCTCCTCAACCCACAAATTCACATTATTAACAACTTCAATTGCCTGTATGTCAAAATAAGGCCATGTGTGTGTATATTAGTTTTAAAAGGTTATTCTCAAAAGTCAAACGGAGAAGATTCAAATACAATTATTTGTAGAAAAAGCTAATTTTAAAGAAAAAGGATCAAAACCCTAAGCGACTAAGGCATTGTTCCGTTAAATTTATTTTTTCTACTTATTACTTAATCTTATTATAATGATATCGGAACAGATCAGATCAAAAACAATTTTAATTACTCCCTCCGTTCCTAAATAAACTTTTCTTTTTGACTTTTTGAGGATTTAAGAGAGAGATATTTTTGTGTTGACTTTCCAAAAATACCATTGATGTGATGTGTAAAGTAATTGACGGATCTTGTAAACAGACTGCGCCACATGCTTGAAAGAAGCCTTCAAAGGCAGAGTCTGGTCGACCCACGCGCCGTTGGCCACCGATATTTGGGGGCCGCTAAGAGTGCGGCCGTCGGCGAAGACGGGGGAGAGGACCTCTGAGTATAATGCGTGGAGATCTTCGGCGGAGTTGGATTTGAGGAAAGCGAGGAGCTCGTTGAGAGTGCAGCCCTTGGAGCCGGCGGCGATGAGGCTTAACATGAGGTGGATTGAGATAGGGGAGAAGACGAAGTTGGATTCGGTTTTGGTGACGGCGGAGAAGACGTGATTCGCCAGCTTCAAGGAGATGTCGGCGTGATTCCTCATCGCTTCTTCCAAGTCCCTTTCTTCTTCCGAGTCCATTTTGGATCACCGGATTATTGTCTTCCTGGCAGGAAAGAAACCCAAAAAGAAAGATAGAGAAGAAGGCGACGGTGAGAAACTGGGATTTGGTACTACCGGCGGGGGTTTTAAAGGAAGTGGGGCTTCAGTCTTAATTACCACTTTTATTACTCCCTCTATATCTCTCCTACTATTTTAATGAGTAATGCTAGAGTCACAAACAAATAGTTCACAAAATTCACAAATTTGTCTTTTTAACATTTTCCTAGAAATAAGATGCACTCAAATAATAAAAAATATTTTAATTTAAAATCCACAAAAGGCAAGTTTGTGAAGTTTGTGAACTATATGTTTGTGACTCTAGCATTTTCCATTTTTAATTGCATATGTTAATATTTTAAAAATTAATTACTGCAGTATTATACGAAGTATTAAAAAAATATCTGAAATCCTAAGGTTTTGTTTGATACATAGGATCGTAGTTTAATTGGAATTGATTTTTTTGGGAGTGAATTAGATGAAATTGATTTCTAATTCAATTCTTAATGCTGCCTTCTTTGATATAATTAATGAATAAATTCTTTGTTTTGTAGTATAAGATTTAATATAGAATTAATATCAAATTGTACCTTTTCAATTTCTCGCAATAGATTAATTCGAACACCATTAAAACTGTAGCTGTGTTAGTTGGCCGAATGTTAAAAAAATTGGTAAAATTTTTCAAGTCTTTCAAAATTTAATACTCCCTCCGTTCTTTAAAAGAGTTCCTATTTTGATTAAGTTTAAAAATAAAGAAGTGTTAAATTGTATTCCCTCCGTTCTAAAAAACTCTTCGTCTTTCATTTTTTTACTTCCAACAAAACACTACCACTTTCTATTTAAAAACCACTTTTACCCTTACTTTTTCATACCCTACCTATCACATCATACTTTTTCTCTAATACTCAATCCATCACATTTTACTTTTACCCATCACATCAAGTGCAAAATTGGAAATCAACTCCTCCCTCCGTCCCAAAAAGATTTACACGTTTCAAAAAAATTGTGTCCCACAATTCCTTACCCATTTCTATTAAAAAACCACTTTTACCCCTTACTTTTTCAAACCCTACCTATCACATCATACCTTTTTCCTAATAATCTACACATCTCATCCTACTTTTACCCATCACATCAAGGATATTTTTGAAAAGTCAACACAAAATTATTCCTCCCTTAATTTCAACTTTAGTCAAAATGGGTAACACTTTATAGGACGGATGGAGTACTATTTAACACTTTTTTTATTTTTACACAAAGTCAAAATAGGAACACTTTTATAGAACGGAGGGAGTAGTTGATTTCCAATTTTACCCTTGATGTGATGGATAAAAGTATAGTCTGATGGGTAGATTATTAGAAAAAAAGAATGATGTGAAAAAGTAAGGGTAAAAATGATTTTTTATTAATAAAAAAACCAAAAACCCAGTTAAGTCCCAAAAGAGTAGGGTCGGGGAGGGTGTCTACGCAGACCTTACCCCTACTCGAAAGTAGAGAGTCTGTTTCCAAAGAGACCCCTGGCTCAACGTCGAAAGTTACATTGTTTGACTAATTGCTATTTCATTAATTAAAGCAGCACAAACAGTTTAGAGATCCATTTTGATTTATTTCATCACACCCAAAACCAGAAAAATGGTGAAGTATAGAAAGTGAAAGTGTTTTGTTGGAAGTGGAAAAAATGAAAGATGAAGTGTTTTTGGGAACGTAGTGAGTAATATATTTCTTCCGTCTCAGAAAGGGTTTTTCTTATTGACTTTTTGGAAAATTAAAGGAGGCATTCTTGTGTAGCCTTTGCAAAAATATATCTTTGATGTGATGAATAGATTATTAGTAAAAAGGTATGATGTAATAAGTGTAGTATGAAAAAATAAGAAATAAAAGTGGATTTTTAATGACTAAGAGAACATCTTTTGGGGACACCCAAAAAAATAAAAGAGGAAAAACTTTTAAAAATCACCATAATTTGGACTATTACATAGAGAAAGGTACTAAAATATGATTTTCTTTTTTTTTCTTGAAATAAGACTTTACACTTTGGTAATTACTATACTTTTTTGGTAATGTACATGACCATGTTTGGTAATGTAAATTCTATTTCGAGAATAAAAAATGGAAGTCCTACTTTAGTATATATTCAATGTTTTTGTCCTAATTTGGTCTTTCTACCAAATTCATCTACAATTATTTTTATTTCTGAATGCATTGATCCGTTAAAGAGAGTGCAATGACACAAGAGTGCTCTAAGGCAAGGGGCGAGGAGGGATTGGAAAATGATTATTTCACAAACAGCACAAACTTCACAAACTTACTATTTGTGAATTCTAATAAAAAATTAAATAGTCTAAATTAATTTTAAAATGAAAATTTAAATCATAAATAGTAAGTTTGTGATTATTGTATTTGTGAATATTTTGCCGTTTGTGACCAATGGTGAATAATTAACCAATAAGAGGATTAATCAGAGTCCCAATCAAGAGAATGACTCCTATCGAATCTTCCCGGATGAAATAGAGAAAGGGGTGGTCAGCTACGAAATCCTCATCGGGGAACAGGGCTATGCTCATCTCTTCATCCTCGGTGGCACACGCAGCTTCTGTGCCATCCTCATTAACCTCAATAAAAGACTTGTGGAATATTTTTGAAACATAGAGTGCTTCATGTTCCACCATCTCAGTGATGCCCTCAACTCCAAGAAAAGGAGACACCACCCCTAGCTCCTTCAGAACCTCTGAGACCTCGATTCCGAAGGATAACTTGAACTTTGGGATGCGAAACTCGCCCACTGGAACGGAATGCATGGGTAGACAACGCTCCAATAGCCCAGGATCACAAGTGACCTCATGCATCAAAGATGGAAACCCATCCTTGGCATCTGGCAAGAAGATGTACATGGAGAAACAACGTTTATCGTCTCCTCGTTTATAAGGAAGTCTCAATACTTTGAAACCTTTAAAGACTCCCACACATTGCTCATTCCTACTGCTCATGAACGGGACTCGTACGGAGCTCCCATTGACGAGGTGGAAGTCACTAGTCTTTGTCTTAGACGCATCGAATTTCTCAGCCCAACGTCCTTTGAAATACAAGATATTTGCTAAAATGAGGCGAGTGTCGCTGCTCACTCCATCAACAGAAAGTATATCTTTGATAAGACCGCGTGTCTTTTTCTCAACCTGCAAATTCACATGTTTAACCACTTCCTTTGCCGTTTGAAAGCGACAGTCGCGAGCCGCCAACACGGCGGCCGTTGGTGAGGACGGGGGAGAGGACCTGAGAGTAGAAGGCGTTGAGATCGTCGGCGGACTTGGAGTTGAGGAAAGCGTTGAGATCCTTATCGATTCTTCCACGTCCATTTTCACCGGATTCAGGTCCTGATCGAAAGAGGCTCCACAAGGATTTGCTCTCTAGGTTTATTCTCTCTACGAGGTTTTTAAAGGAAATAAATAGATTTACAAGTCTTAGAATACTTTATTCGGAGATATGAATTTCCTATATTTAAAAATGCAGTAAATTCCATAATAGAAATTATCCTAAATAGGACTAAAACATAGAGAAAAGTATTAAAATAGAACTTTCATGTTTTTTTCCCAGAATAGGACTTTGCATTGTGATAATGTGACTTTGCATTGTGGTAATGTGACAGTGTACATGTGCAAATTACTATACTTTCTTGGTAATGTATATGACCATGTTTGGTAATGTAAGTCCTATTTCGGGAATAAAAACATGGAAGTCCTATTTTGGTATATTTTCAATGTTTTAGTCCTACTTTGGTCTTTCTCCCATTTCATAAAAGGTCCCCAGTTATAGGTCGTTTTACATATTTAGTCCCTGCATATCAAATATTACTAATTTAGTTCCCAATTACTATATTAATTTTCACGAATGGTCTTTTGTTAACATTTTCGTTAACAGCGTGGATAAAATTGTTAATTCACACTCTTTTGTCTTATCAATTAAGCTTCCTCCCTTCCCTCGAACTTCTTTCCCAAACTCGTCGCTGAGTTTGAAACTTTGAACCCAAAACCAGAATCATCACTCTTCTCTCAATTGTTTGTCTAACTGGTGAAACCCAAATTCGAAACCAGTAACATTCATGGATGAGTTTCAATGTTTATTTTCTTTACAATTTCTTGAGACTAACCGATAAAACTCATCCATAAAGCTTATTAGTTTTGATTTTAGGTTCTACCAGAAAGACTAATAATTGAAAGAGGAATGATCATTTCAGTTTTGGGTTTAGAGCTTCAAATTCTGTGACGAGTTTGGGAAAGAGTACGAGAGGAGGAAGGAAGTTTAATTGAGCAGAGAGAGAAGTATGAATATACAATTTTATCCATATTCTTAACAAAAACGTTAACAAAGAACCATTCGTTAAAAATGATATAATAATTGGGGACTAAATTAGTAATATTTGATATGTATGGACTAAATATGTAAAACGACTTATAACTACGGACCTTTTATGCAATTTACTCTTAAAAAATTAGTACAGAGTAAATTCTTGGCATGAATGCATGATTACCAATTCTATTCTATTACCAAATCTAAAATAAGAACTTTTTCCCAAAAAGTTGCTCTGATATCTGAATTGAAAATGGTTTTGTAGGAGAACAACAACATCTGAATTGTAATAAATAAATAATTGATCATGATATTCGATAATAACAATTGTTGATTTTCTTGATAATGATACTCCGTATGAGACCAAGAGGCTGATAAACTTAACCTTCCTACCCAGCTCGAACCCATCTCCCAACTCTTTCACTTTTATCACCACAATGTTGCTTCAAATTTTTTTTTAATTCCAATGGTTAAAAAAATTTGGGGATGAAATTGAAGAGGTTAGGAGGTGGATTTTTTCAAGGCCAGAGTTGGGGGTTTACCGATGTGTTTGGGGGCATGGAACTTCAATTTCACTAGCAGTTTTTGACAGACAAAATATAAACCGTGAGATTTTAAGAGATTTTAAACTTTGAAGCTTAAAAAACTTCATTATTGAACGTGAGTTTATTTTCTTTCCTTTGTACATGCCCAATAGTATATGACTACCGAGTTGTGTTGAAGAAAGCATGAGTTTAGTGGTGAACCATATGTATGTTGATTGAGCTTCACGTACACGTACTCTTAGACTCTTATTAGTACATTAAATTAGACAATGGTACAGCCAAATAGACGAGCAGCAAAGGATTTTGGGTTTTGTGAGTTAGCGAGGACGGATTTTGGCTTATGTGAGTTGTAATTAACCGAAAGAGGATTAATCACATTCCCGATGAAGAGAATGAGTCCAGTTGAATCTTCCCGAATAAAAAAGAGAAAGGGATGATCGGCCACAAAATCCAACGCTTCTTCCCTTGAAGCTCCCCTCGTAGCAATTGCTGCGGTGGCAGCTGCAGCTTCTGTGCCATCTTCATTGACCTCAATAAAAGACTTGTGGAATATTTGTGAAACATAGAGTTTAGTCCTGCCGTCCACTATCTCCGTGAGGCCCTCTCCTCCTCCTCCAGCAAAAGGAGACACCACCCCAAGTTCCTTGAGAACGTCCGAGACCTCAAGCCCAAATGACAACTTGAACTTTGGGATGCGGAACTTACCCACTCTAACTGGATTATTAGAGGGAAGGCAACGCTCCAATAGCCCAGAATCAGAAGAGACCTCATGCATCAAAGATGGCAACCCGTCCTTGGCATCCGGCAAGAAGATGTACATGGAGAAACAACGGCGTTTATCCTCCCCTTGTTCATAGGGTAGCTTCAATACTTTGAAACCATCAAAAGCATCCACACACTGTTTCTTCTTACTGCACATGAATGGGGCTTGTATGGAGCTCCCATTAAGGAGGTGGAACGCGCCGCCCTTCGTCTTTGACGCATCAAACTTCTCAACCCACTCTCCTTTGAAATACAATGCATTTGCTAAAATGAAATCAGTTCTACTGTCGACGGCACAGGCAGGAAGTATGTCTTTGATAAGACCGCCCGTCTCCTTCTCAACCCACAAATTCACCTCTTTAGCCACTTCATTTGCCTTTCTGTGGAAATCGACCGATTCACAGGCGGCCTTGTAAGCAGTGTCCGCGACATGCTTGAAGGAAGCCTTCAAAGGCAGAGTCTGCTGGATCCACGCGCCGTTCGCCGCCGACAACCGCGGGCCTCCGGCAGGACTGCCGTCGGCGAATACGGCGGAGACGACCTGAGAAAAGAAGGCTTTGAGATCGTCGGCGGAGTCGGATTTGAGGAAGTCGAGGAGCTCGAGGAGAGACTGGCCGCCGGAGCCGGCGGCGAGGAGGCCCAATAAGACGCTGATGGAGAGAGGGGAGAAGACGAGGTTGGATTCTGTTTTGGTGACGGTGGAGAAGACGTGATTCGCCAGCTCGAGGGAGACGTCGACATGATTCCTCACTGATTCCGGCGAGTACATTTTCACGTACTGCCTACAAATAGTACTGAAGGATCGGAGGAATGAAATGAAAGAAGACACGGTAAATGAAACATTTATTGATGTTCTTTATATGATTGATTATTATTCCCTAATCTTCCCCTCCTGTCCACGTACGGGTCACCTACACATTCTTTCCCTCCCTTCCAATCTAAGATAGCTAGGGATTCCCCTCACGATTCGTTGCCTCCAAATTCAAAATTTGCTTTCCTTAATTATACCCTATACCCTCTTGTTTAAATACTCCATCCGTTCCACAAATCGTTTAAGTTGACTGTATTTTGGTATTGAATTTTCAAAAATGTTCTTTGATGTGATGAGTAAAAGTATGATTTGATGGATAGATTATTAGTAAAAAGGTATGATGTGATAGGTAGGGTATGAAAAAGTAAGGGGTAAAAGTGACTTTTTAATAGAAATGAGAAGTGTTTTTTGAGACGAATGAAAAAAGAAAAGAGAAAGATTTTCTGAGACAAAGGGAGTATTACTTAGATAAAATAATATTCTAAAATAAGTTTTAAAAACCAATCTAATTAAGTTATTTTTGTATCAAAATCAACATCTGACTCCAAAGTTAAAATTAACTTGGGGATGCAATTGAAGAGGGTGAGAGTGTGTTCGGTGTTGGAATTTTGGCATTTTAATCACCATTAACACGGTATTAAGTGTGCCACAAATGCCATGGGTTAATGGTGTAGAAGTTACAATTTTTTAAATGGCTTGGTTATAAAATCAAAGGCTCTCTCCATTCTCTTGTTTGGCTTTACACGTGAGAAAGAAAGAAGAGAAAGGGAAAACCTTATTGTTTAATCTTTAGAGAGAGCTCTTGATTTTCCGGTCATCCCCTTCAAAGTTTTGGTCGCCAACGTCCCTACGTTGTTCTTGTTTGTTGGTGTGTGGTTGGTCCGTACAATCTCCACACACGATAGCGGTTTTATCCTGGGAGGAGAGTGCCCACGTTTTTCCGGTACGGTAGGCGGGCACTACTACCTTAAGGACAGCTCCGGCGACTCCGCTGTCCTTCCGTGGTGTTTTGTTTTGCAGGATTAGTTCATAAAGACCTCGATGCATTCTGTCATAGTGCATAATGTCCTCACAGCCCTGTGCATAACGTCCTTGCTGTCCAGTGCTTAATATCCTCGTTGTCCAGTGTTTAATGTCCTCAACAAGGCTGTTTGAAGATATAGAAATTTATTTTCAACTTTGTTTATTTTGTAATATTCTGAATAAATTATAAATTCAGATTTTTTTTTCCGGGGCCGTTCATCTTCCCCGTCCGTTGTAATCCGTACGAGAATTGTAACATTCGGTTCAGGACGGGGTGGGGGGGTTTACCGATGGCTTAGAAACCAGCCTCTTAGATATAATATAAATTTAGTACTCGTATAATTAAGTTTATTTTAATATATTCAGTATAATTTTAAAGTATCAAAAAAGTCAAATTTTGACAAATTTGTAGGGAGGGAGTGAATATATAGAATTGATGATCAGCTACGAAGTCTACCTCGTCTCCCGTCGGGCTTAAGGAATGCTCATCTCTTCCACATAATTTTTTGATACATGATTCCAAAAGGGCTCAAAATTTAAGTGAAATTTGCATTGAATAGAACTAAAACATAATTCGTTTTCTAATGTAGGACTTTAATTTTTTTATTTCCTAAATAGAACTTAATAATGACTAGTGAGAAAAATAATGTCCGAGTGATATTAGATATTTAGTTGAATAATGACTATATATTGCAAAATAAAAATATATAGTCCTATATTGATAAAGTTATTAAATTATCCAAAATTTAATGGATGATGAATTTGCTTCTAATGTATGCTAAGGCTATTATGAAACATGTCTTCTCGAGATACAGAGTACTCCATGCAAAATCATACTATAAAATACTCCGTATTATATTGTTCAATTCTTAGCATAAAAAATGCTAATAAATAATGATTTTAATTGAACAAAATGTATGTAGGAAAAGATATTATTTTGAATAGCTAGAATTAGACCTGGCAATCGGGTCAATCGGTTCGGGTCCGGGTCGGGTCTTTTCGGTTCGGGTCTCTTTCGGATATATGTTATAATCGGTTCGGGTCGGTTCAGGTCGGGTCAGTTTGGTTCCGGGTTTATTTCGGTTTGACTGGTTTTCGGTTTCGGTTCGGTTTCGGTTCGGGTTTATATCGGTTCGGGTCTGTATCGGTTCGGGTTTGTATTGATTTGAGTTTATATCGGTTTAAATTTATATTAGTTCAAATATAATGTAAACACATACTAATAAATGAATAATATTTGGATAACAATTTGGTTCTAAATTGTCACTAGAATGTTGTATTTTGTTTGTTGGATAGTGTATCCACGAAAATCAAGATTAGTGTTTTAAAAAAGTTCTTTAAGATGGTTCAATATTTTTTTACTCATTCATAATTTTTGGAGAAGAAATCTTTTATTTAGCTTATACTAGGTAATGTCAGTTAGCTTGTTTTATTCATTTATATAATCATAAGTTTTTACCACATGATTGTGACACCTTTCTTCATTTTTATGCTCAAGTATTTTTTATAGTGTGTTAATTGGCATATTAAAAAAGAAAATCAACTTTGGTAACATAATTCTTTACATAAAATATGTATTACAATGTAACTATAATTTTTATATACTTTCTATAAAAATACAAATATATTTTAACTTAGGTTATAAAATACGGAGTACAAAATAAAAGATTTGTACATGAAAGTAGTTACATGGTTTGCACTCATAATTTAAATATGTTTTTTTAGAAACATATCAACATATGTAAAAATATATAGGTAATTCTTTTTTTCCAAATTCATTTGATAAATGAAATATTAATGAATTTGATCAATTTCGGGTCTAATCGGTTTCGGGTCTAATCGGTTCCGGGTTTATCCGGGTTCGGGTTTAATCGGGTTTGGGTTTAATCGGGTTCGGGTTTAATCGGATTCGGGTCTGAATCGGATCTGAATACATTCGGTTCGGGTTCGGATCATTTCGGGTGTTCGGTTCTATTTCGGTTCTTCATTTTTCAGGTCAAATCGGGTTCGGTTCCGGGTTATTCGGTTCGGGTTATCGGGTCCGGGTCAGTTTTTCCAGGTCTAGCTAGAATGGATGAAATTTTACTTAGAATTTAAGACAAATGAGACAAGTAAAAACAAATTTATTATTCTAAGCATATCATATACTCCATCCATTCCGGAAAATATGGGAGTTTTGATTTTGAAGAGAGATTTAAATAGAGTGTATTTTAGTATTGAATTTCCAAAAATGCCTTATGATGCGATGGGTAGGATATGAAAAAGTAAGAGGTAAAAGTGACTTTTAATAGAAATGGGAAATGTTTTTAGAGACGGATGAAAAAAGAAAGGTGAAAGGTTTTCAGGAACGGAGTGACACTATTAGAAGATGAATACAAATAAAATTCTACTTAGCACAAACTATAAACATATCATGTACGAACTCAAATACTAGGTAGCACATAAGTCATAACAATAAGATGTAATTAAACATTTCGATTGTTGTAATCAAAATATTCATCAAAAACATCGAACGAAAACTTTATACGGAGTATACTCTAAGATAAACATCTGATAAACACTTGAAATAAAAAAAAAACAATACAGTTCTAGAACATAATTTTTTTTTCGCCTCTTAATTCGAATAAAGATAAGCTTAGACCCTACCTAACACGGAGTACTAATTTAAGGCTAGCCCTGATGATCAATTAATGAAGAGGATTGATAAGAGTCCCAAGTAAGACAATGGCTCCCGTCAAATCTTCCCTGATAAAATAGAGGAAGGGATGGTCTGCTACAAAATCCACCAACACCGGGCGTGGTCTCGGTCTCAAGGCGCCGCACCCCATGCGAGCCACGGTGACAGCAGCAGCTTCAGTGCCTTGTTCATTAACCTCGATAAAGGACTTGTGTATTACATTTGTGACATGGAGTGGATATCCGCCGTCCACCATCTCAGCCAGGCCCTCTCCTCCATCAAAAGGAGACGCCACCCCAAGCCCCTTCAAAATATTTGAAAACTCCAAGTGAAACAACGACTTGAATTTCGGGATACGAAACTCACCCACGGGAACCGGGTGGTTGGGAAGGGAAGTTAGGCAACGCTCCAAGAGTCCGGGCTCAGAAGTGACCTTATGCACCAAAGATGGGAGCCCGTCCTCGGCGTCGGGCAAGAAGATGTACATTGAGAAACGACGCGTTTCATCATTCCCTTGTTCATAGGACAGTCTCAATCAATACTTTGAAACCATCGAAGGCTCTCACGCACTGTCCCTTCCAACTGCTCATGAATGGGACTTTTATGGAGCTCCCATCCAAGAGGTAGAAATCTCTGCGCTTTGTCTCCTTTGCATCGAATTTTTCAGCCCAGTCTCCTTTGAAATACAGTGCATTTGCTAAAATGAATAGAGTTCCATTGTCGACCGCATTGGGATTAAGTATCTGCTTAATAAGACCGCCGGTGTGATTCTTAACCCACAAATTAATATGATTAACCACTTCATTTGCCTGTCAAGTCAAGAAGAAAAAATCTCAGTGTTTTCAATCTATTTTATCAAAATATTGGTATAGAAATAAAATAAGTAAAATTTAGATATTTAAAAACTACATCAAAAATTCAACAAAACAAGTAATGGCAAAATTTTTTATTTTATCGTATACGTCATAAAAATATACAAATAAATAAAAGTACTCCACAAATAAAGAAAGATATGGAAGGCTAAACCCTTACGTATATACCTTGTTCATGAAATCGACCGATTCAGAAACGGCTTGGTAAACACTCTCGACGATATGTTTGAAGGAAGCCTTCAAGGGCGGCAGAGTCTGCTCGACCCACGCGCCGTTTGCGGCCGACAACCTCGGGCCGCCAAGGGGACTGCCGTCGGCGAAGACGGGGGAGAGGACCTGAGAATAGAAGGCGTCGAGATCGTCGGCGGAGTGGGATTTGAGGAAAGCGAGGAGCTCGTCGAGAGTGCGGCCCTTGGAGCCGGCGGCGAGGAGGGCCAATACGACGTTGATCGAGAGAGGGGAGAAGACGAGGTTGGATTCGGCTAGGGTCACGGCGGAGAAGACGCGATTCGCCAGCTTCAAGGAGACGTCGACGTGATTCTTGATCGATTCTTGGACGGCGCCGGCGTCCATTATCACCCGATTTCTGGGAGGACAGTGATCGCCACCACCGTATGTTTTTTTAACTTTCTTTTTGACCCGTTTTTCTCTTCTTCTCATCTTTAACCAATCACGAAAGATTAAATTCCCTGAGCTCAACATGGCTTTACTTCTCCGGGGCGGCGGCGGCGGGGTATTAGCGAGATCGTTAAGGGTGTAAGCTTTGGTCGCCTTATTTATTAGGGACCGTTTTTTTTGTTGAGGGGTTTGGTTAGAATCCTTATTAGGTTAGAAATATGACCCTCGCTCCATGGCCACTAGACCACGGAAGTCACTGGCCTCCTACGGATCTTCGTTCATACAATTGATGATTCCTACTCCCTAACCCTCCCGGTAAACCCCCATCAAGTCTCGACCCAAACAAATCACCTTACCTGTGTCAATTGCACCTCGTAAGTCTAAAGTCAAAACTTTTGACTTTAAAGTCAATTAAGTGCAATTGGCGTATGTGGGGTGATTAGTTTGGGTGGGACTTGGCGGGGAGTTTATCGGAGGGTTAGAAGGCGTAGGAATCATCAATTTTATGAACGGAGATCAGTAGGGGACAGTGGCTTCCGTGACCTCTGGAATCCAGTGGCTATGGAACCGAGCTCTAAAAATATTATTACAAACCTTTGGTCGATACAACTCTACTCCTTTTTAAAAAAACCCACTCCTTATGTAAGTTTAGAGATAGGGTGGGGTTCCCATGACATTGGAACCCAATGTCATGGGAACCTTGGGAGCATTAACATTTTGAAAAACTTATTTAAGAACAGTGTTTAGCGTTACCATTTTAAAATTATCCGCACTGTTGATTTTTCATTCAAAATGCTAGTACTAATCTCTAACGCTATTCTCAAATAGGCCAAATGTCTCAATAAGTTTTGGTTATATTCTCTCTATTAGGATTTTTAAAGAAAATACTCCCTATATAAATGTATATATTTTTGGTCCTTAAATCATTTACTCTTTACGTGAAACTAATTAAAATTTCACGTTTTTTAATTCATTTTATTTAAATATTGATATATAAATAAAAAATAAAATTTACTCTCTCCGTCCGGAAATAAAATTCCCACTCTACGCTTTTTTTCGTCCGAAAATAAAGTTCTCATTCTACGTTTTCATACTCACTCTTCCTAAAATACCCCTTCTTCTCCTCCTTTCTTCCTTTTTCTTTTTCTTCTTTCTCCCCTCTTTTCTCGCAGACCACACCCCCCTTTCTTTTTCTTCTTCCTCTCCTTTTTCTTCTTTCTCCCTTTCTTTTTCTCGGCAAAATCATGCGACCAACTTCTCTCACTCTCCCCCTTCTTTTTCTTCTTTCTCCCATTTTCTTTCTCGGCCAGATCTGGCCATCATCTTCTCTCTCTTCCCCCCCCTCTTTTTTTTTATTCTTTTTCTTCCCGATCAGATCTACTTGCGCTGATTGGATTTCATCTCCTCATAGATCTATGGTTGAGGGAGGCTTTTGCTTTAATATTACAGGTATGGCGGGGCTGGGCGACGGCTGGGG